GGATTTTATCAACAGGGCCCGCAGTACTCTTGCACCGGACACTTCAGACATTCCACATTCCTCAGGCAAAACTCTCTGGGCCGATACTGCACAAGTTACTAGCTGATCAGGTAACGCACGCCGCCCACTTACTTGCGACGCCTCCAATAAATGACGCAGGGCCAGCTTTCCGGTTACCGCGCACTTGTCGAAGCATTCTGATGGAGCATTCTGGCCCGATAGTGCGCATGTCCGAATTTCTGGCTGTTTAATGAACTCTCCAGTTGACGGGCGGATCACAACACTCGAAGAATATCCTTTGGCTTCGCCTAGCCCAAAGCTAACAGTGAGGTGAACATCCCGATTGAGCTCACCTTGGAAACCAACAACTGTCGTGGAGAATTCAGGGGTAAATTCATCTTCCAGTTTCTTCTTCTTTCTTTCATCATCACCCGCCATGCCAATCTCGTCCGCTTTCCTCTCAAGATAGAAACGACGAAACTCTGCAACCCCGGCGTCCTCTAACGCATCTCTATAGATTGCATCTAGATTAATTCCGATGTTGGGGGGTTCTTCTAGGATCTCGGGGACGTCACGAACGGCATCTCGACCGCCCTTCATGTTGTGCTCACTAGGGTCACAGTCCACCGCCACTAACCGCTCATAGCTGTCGTGGGCTACACTCGCGCGCACTCGTACAAGTACTGACCCGCAAAACCGACGCTCTACGTCGTCAACCCTTCCCCCATCAAACACCCCCCCAAATCCGGAGACCCATTTCAATGCTATTTGGTCAACGCTCATGTTGGTATCGCGATCTCTATCACGCAGCTCATATATGCCGGTCGCACTAACCTCATTCACCAATCTCAAAAAGCCCGGTGCACCCGGATGATATCTAACACTTCGACCATGTTGGTCTCCCAGGCTCTTATCAAAATGAACAAAGCGCCGACCAGTACCGCGTTCTATCTGGAACACTCCCTGTTGCCGCTCAGACACCGCTGCCCCAAGGATTTCGAACGCCCCTAGCGTGAATTTCTCAACGGACATAGATGGTTCGGCTATTGGCAACTTCGGCGTGCGTGGTCCTACATATTCCTTCCCACTTGCGCTACCCAACAGACTGTCAATCTCTTTGGACTCCTGCTCTAGCGTCTCCTTCGCTTTCAGGATGCTTGCCTCAGCCAGGCGCGCGGCTTCTTCAACGTCTTTCCCCGCTAGCGCCTGGACTACAAGTTCTCTTATTCGCTCCTCGAATCCCTTTCCCTCATCACCCTCATCCAAACCGGAGCCTTCCAGCAACGATTCAACATCACCGATGGCGTGCGATGCCATCTGAAGTTTCTCCATCAATCTACCAACAATATATTCCTCAAAGGTACCCGCGAGCGTAATGTTGAAAATCGCCACAGTCTTGTGTTCAGACGCGAGCCTTTGAACACGCCCGATTCGCTGCTCTACCACCATGGGGTTCCATGGCAGATCGAAATTGACCAACACATTTGCCGCCTGCAGATTAACACCCTCAGAACCCGCCTCCGTCGAAACGATCACACGAATCTTGGGCGGGTTAGATTTGAAATCTGTAATTGTTTTCTGATTTTTCGCACCCGACTGCCCGTTTATACACCCGACTGTTAAGCCGACATCGGACAAAAAACTCTCAATGGTTGTTTGCGTTTCTCGACGAGTTGTAAAGACCACCAGCCGCCACGAATCAGGATTTTGCTCCATCAGAGTCTCCACGAGACTCTTAAGGCCAGACAACTTAGCGCTTATTCCGAATCCTTGTACAAGCCTATCAACCGTAGCCGCAACATCCGTCGGAAATGTTTTGTTTCGGGCCATGTTATTCAGCTGTGCACGCAGTGCATCCGGGCTACTCACCAAGGCTTGCAGAACGGATATCTGAGTCAGTCGATTGAGTTTCTGAATCGCACGCCCGACAAGATCGATCAACGTCAACTCATCCTGGCTAGGAAGCACCTTATGCATCTGCACGACACGGTCGGGAAAATACAGATTCGCATCCGAACGTCGCACTCGAGACATATACCCGAAGACAATGGATCGAAATTCATCTCGCGCCTCATCTCTCAATCGACGCGCCTTGCCTCTGTCATCTTCAATGAACTTACGAGCAAACATACCCTCACTGCCGAATGGATTCTCATGTCCTCGCGCAACCGTTAACAGGTCAACGAGTGAATATATATCCCATAGCCGATTTTGAATTGGAGTCGCGGTCAGCATTAAAACATAGCGAAAGCGCCTCTCTTCTAGCGCCTTGCGAAATCGCTGTGCTACTTGAGGTGGTGACTCTACGCCGTAAAGGTTCCTTAACTTGTGCGCCTCATCCAAGATCAACATGTCAAATCGATCTTCAGGAATCTTCTCCAGATGAGACCGCGCAGAATGATAAGTGGTTATTACTGCCCCATTATTCGTTGGCTCCGCCTTTACCAGGTCACTGCCTGAAACGACTTGTGATTCGATCGCGAACTTCTCGTGGAGCTCTTCCTGCCATTGGGGACCGAGGAGTTTTGGACAGACAATTAAAATCTTCGATATTCGGGACCTCGCGATAAGTTCACTCACGATTAACCCAGCGCTGATCGTTTTGCCAAGGCCAACGTCGTCGGCGAGCAAAGTTACCGGCAGGCGCCGACAGAATGTGATCAGGTTCTCAACCTGATGCTGGTATGGCTCGACAAGGTCACGCCACATTACTTCAGAGCGTACGTCCTCAGCACTCTCAATAACTATCGGCTGCTCAAGATCCCATTCCAAGGCTGCTTTATAAACGGCATATTCAAGCGGCGTTTTTTGTCGGCGAAGGATCTTGCTTGAGACTTGAGCTGGGATGATCACCCCCCATTCTTGGGTTTCTAAACTTTACTTGCTTGTACTTCAAAAGAGCAGGCACGTCGAATACGTTGAAGTTTCTCGGCCACCTGTCACAACCGCTAATCCACCCCTAAGACCTTAAACACAGCATCCACAGGGTCCGAATAAAAACTCGTTTGAAACTTGGTAAAAAGCTCAGGCGGAATGCTGGGGATATCTGCCGCACTACTCATCGGCAACGCTACTTTCTTCGCGCCTGCATCAAAACCCACTTGCAGGCATTCAGCAATACTTTCAACTGGTGTCACGCTCCCACCCAAGCTCATGTCACCCAAAACGACCATCTGGCTCTGTATAGGCTTACCCAAGAGGCCCGAGGCAAAGGCGACCAAACTAGACAGCGCTAGGTGTGTCAGCGGGCCGGTATTTTGCAACTCAACCGCGTGAATATGGAAATCATGATCCACCACCTTGGCACCGGCGCTGATTCTCGACGCATTGGCTTTGAAAAAATCAAACGCAATCTTCACCTGTTCCTTTGCGGCGCTGGAGTTCCACAAGCCTGACATAGCCAGCTTGCCCGAGCCTTTGGTCACCTGTAGTTCCAATCGATAGAGACCCGGCATCCCTTTTTTACTTAAGCCAATCGTATGGACGAAGCCGGGCTTACCAGGACCTTCGGGAATCAAGCCACCGCCGCCCTGCTCTTTTACGGATACAAAGTGCTCTTCCAGGGTTTCGTTATCGATATAGCTGAAGTGAACATCATAGAATTCCATTCCACCAATCTTCTTAAGCTGCTCCTTAACACGCCGGCGCACTTGCAGTGCATACTCCAGACACTCTCGAACATCTTCTTTCTCGAACTCGCCGTGGGGGTGCAGCAGCTTGACAAGCCCAGACACCGTCTTGCGCACCGCGATCACATCACGCTGATTGAGGTTGTTACCCAACTTGAAATACTTGTCGATGGCATCGCTAAAGCTGCGCTTGCGCATCTCTCGAAAAAACTCGGCTAGATAGTCGGTAATCAAACCGTAGCTATCGGTAAAGAACTCGGGACGCATTTTGGGGATTTCCCAGCCGGGTATATAGGCATGGAAGCGGTCGAAAAATGCCGCATCGATCATCGCCTCGGGAAAAGGCGCCAACAAGTGGCTAGTTTTCACGAGAGATTCGACATTTTCGATGTTACCAACAAACACCATCGAGGCCGAAGCTTCCATCTGTTCCCGACCACGGGCGAAGGATCCAGAGGCCATGAAATCCTTCATGATTTGCACGCCGTCTTTGTCCTTGAAGGAGATACCCGCAACCTCATCAAAGGCCACCAAGTCCCAAAGGCCGACCAGCCCGATTCTACGCGTGCCCATGTTGTAGAATAGATTAGCAACCGTGGTTTGTCCGCCTGATATAAGGATGCTGTTAGGCGAACACTCCTTGTAGATATGACTCTTACCTGTGCCTTTGGGTCCTAGTTCGCAAACGTTGTAGTTATTCTCCACGAAGGGAATCATCCGCGCCAACAGGTGCCACTGAACATCTACATCGAGGGTCGAAGGTTCCATGCCGATAGACCGTATTAGGGTTTCCCGCCACTGGTCCTTCGTTAGCGCCTTTCGAGCAGTGAATAGCCCATCCATATCCATATTGGGCATCTGAATCGGCTTTATCACGCTAACACCGAAGGGTGACTCTTTTTGACCCTCCTCGTGGAAGTAACTGAGCGTAGCGATAACCCAGATTCCGCCGACGAGCAGCTTCTCGTATTCCTTAACGATGCTGGATGAAATCGCCGCGTCCTTAATCCCCAGGCTACTGAACGCAGCCTCATATTTATCTTTCTTCTCGTTCAGTCGCACAGTTACCCGGTCGATGACCTTGTAACTACCACGCTCCCTCACTAGAGACTTCACTTTTTCGGCCTCGTCGGGCCTGACATAATTATCCGCCAGCACGGTTTTTACATTCGCCAAGCCCTGCTCGATCACTGCCGGGTCGCTGGAAGCGCAGTACATGCCCAGCAAGTACTCAAGCACATACACCGGTACATTCGCCGACTCCTTGATCAGCTTGGTGAGGTCTTTGCGCACCACCCGGCCTGCAAAGTGCTCATTTAGCAGCTCATCAAGATCCTGTTCGTCTTGCATATCCATCACTAATCTCGCTTGTTACAAGAAGTCATCGGTAAACGCCAAATCTATAGTGACCTTATAGCGTTCCATCTCAGTATTAAGGTCTTTGTCCTTTATGATCAGGAAATAGTCCTGATTACGCCCAAATTTCGAGCCTGACAAGGACAAAGACACCTGTTTTACACGCTCGGTCATATTGTCGCTAGAACTCTCAAAAGTGAGGGTCTCCTCGCTAGAGATCAATTGCTCTGCGTCGTAGAGTCCAACGGAAACGGTAACCGGCAGCATTTGGTCGCCTACCGCGTCAGTCTGCATCAAATCAAAACGCTGGATGTTATTCACCATGCGCAGAGAAGATTTGGGAGATATCACACCGACCTTATGCTTGGTTCGGCTCTCCGCTTTCTCTCCGCGCAACTGGCGCACCGTAACAACAGGCACCACAATTTCCTGCGGCATAACGCCACCGTGCACAAAACGAGCACCGCCAACAAAATGAAAGCGATTAGCCCCTTTGGGAATCCAAAACTCGGTATCGGAGCTGGTACCGGCTGTCGCACTGGTGGACCCCGTCCAGGCATCGTTTGGAGATCCCAGTTCGTGGCCAATCACATAACGTTTTTTGTTCTTTAGCGCATTTGTCGGCTTCTCTGCGAGCGAGGTCCTGTCGGCGCGGCCCAGCTTACTTTGCTGGAACATGAAGCCATGATCAGCCGTGACGATCACAGTGGAGGTATTGAAATGCATCATCACCTTACGTGTCAGCTCTGTCAGCTCCTCTATAGCATGCTCCACGGCCAAAAAAGTTTCCGACTCCGTAGCGGCAACGTCGCCCCGAGCATCCACCACATTGTGGTAGACATACACCAAATATTGGTCCTTCAGTGCCTCGCGCCCGTGCTCCCTAGACCAGTTTTTAACCTCTTCCGCGGTAACGGCGATGCCGCCGTGGGCGGAGAGGATCTTGTTGCGGTTAACGGTGCCCTTACTGGATTGGCCATCTACAAAGACGTCATCACTAACATTCTGCCGATACTCCAGGCTTGAATGCGGCAGCAGAGAAGCCATACCTAGCGTGGTATAACTCGGCACCACACCCAGCTGGCTACTCAAATGCGCTTCGCTATAGCGCTTTTCATTGATCCGCCCAACCAACTCAACCGCCGCCTCATAGCGAAACGCATCGCTGACAATCACCACCACCCGCTTTGGCGTGGCGAGCCCCATGAGCGGCGCTACATGGCGTTGGTAAAAGTGCTGCTGATTGGCAACCTCTGGTATATGCCAGTCAGCCAAGCGGCTCTCACTTTCTATTCTGTCGCTCCAATTCTTGGCTAAGTTATCGAGGTACCAGTTTGCATAGCACTGCTCAACTTCCGCATCGAGCGCCTTCAGCACATCCACATGAGCGCGATAGGAGGCCTCAAAATAGTGCCGATAGGCCGTATCAAACTGGTAGAGGTCAGTTTCGTAGGCCTTATAGAGCGCTTCGGTACTCGTATAATGAAACCCTGCCTCGTGAGCATAACGAAGTTGATATAAATCGATTGCCGCGGAGAACGCGGTATAGACGGTTCGGTATTTGCGGCGTGTATCGTCCTCTTTGTGCCTGGATGCCCAATAGCCATCCAGGCGACTTGCTATCACCGCCCCAAAACTCGTCAAGTCTCTAGCATCCGCCCGAGGTATAGCGCCGGCTATATCGGCGATAATTTTGCGTTCAACCCCCTCAAACGTGACCACCTGTGAGAGCGTATCGATACCCAAGTCAGACAGTCGCTCATCTATTTTCAGTGCCTGAGATACCCAACTAGACACCGTATCAAAGGCTTTGTAGTAACGGGAGCTATCCCGCCAGCGCGACAGCAGCGCTCGCACAGTTGCTTGACCGCTATTCGAAGGAATAACCAGGCCTGCCGCCCAATCCGGCACAATTGAGGTGCTCTCACAAAACCCAGTCGCGAGCAGACGAATCAAAAAGTTACCAAAATTCAGCGGTGCTTCACCTTCGAGTTCCTCTGACGATGCGGGATACCCTATCTCCCGCTGCAAGCTAGCGACCAACGCCGGCATCAAACCGTACTTCAAAAGCTCATCGAAGGATTCAGGGTTGGTCTCCAGTCCGGCGTCTTGCGCTACTACCTGCTCCGCCAACGAAAACAAGATATGCGCCACATCGCAACTGTCCGCCTTGACGACAGCCGTAATCATCGCCAGATCGATATCGTCTTCACTGGCATCGCCTTGCAACCACTTCTTGAGTGCTGTGATGCGCGATTTACTGGCCAGGAAGCGCTCGCGCTTTGCCAAATGCTCCCGAACCGCCTGTTGCTGCAAACCGAGTTCATTAAAAATGATGGAAGTGCGATCTGCGTAGAAGCAATGCGAGTAGAGTTTCATGTCCAGGAGCCAGTCCTTTGCATCCTCTGGCTCTGCACTAGGAAAGTACAGTAGGTACTTGCCCTGTCTATCTTCCAACTCTAATTTCATTTTGGTGGCGAATACCGATTCATCCTGCATGTTAAGAACCTGCACATCTGGCAATGCCAATGTAGCAACCTCTTCCTGAAAATCACCCGCAGGGTCGTACCAAAAAACCAGGCGCTGGTTTTCTTTTTCAAAAGCATTGAGTAAGCCTTCTTTGAGCTGGTCTTCGTTCATGTTGGATTGTTACCTGTTATGGCCTTCACATCGCTCAAGAGATCACCGAACTTGCCATAGTTCACCTTCACCCCATCGTCGAGATCCAGGCTGATACGCTGGTCGGCAAAGTGGCGAAGCTTTTCGTCAAAGGCGCTCAGTTCAGCTTGCTGCTTGTGTAGTTTGTCGATTTGCTTTTCCAGGCGCTTGATTTCAGCGGTTGTGCCGCTGGCATCTTTATCCTTTTCTAACTTCTCTACATGGCTCGCAAGTTTAGCTGTCAGTGGGATAACGTATTCGGTGCGCATGCGCGCCAAAGTACCTTCGTTGTAGCGGTGTAGGTACACCAGGCATTGGAAGGCTTTCTGCTTGCCACTGCTGAATAGCCAGTAAATGGGGCGCTTCTTGTAGGTTTGCATATGGTCTTTGTAGAACTTGTCACACAAGTAACGGCGGATGGTATCGCGGCTGCTTTCACCCCTTTTGGGGGACAAGTTATCAGCCAGGAACTGAAGATTATCCTCCAGATGGACCTCATCCCAAGCTACGGATATGAACTCTTCCACTCGATGCGCCGCATCATCTTCAAACCAATCCGTATCCGTAAGGGGGACGATGCCGTCGTCGTCGGCCGGGAAGGTGGGGTAGCGGCTTGGGTCGAAGCCCTCGTTGCCGCTGTGGGCGTAGATGAGGCCCGGCGCGTCCAGGCTGTAGCGGCCCATCATGCAGCCGATGGCGTAGGAGACCAGCTCCTCCATGGTGTCCTGACGGAAGCGGGTCCACTGCTCCTCTTCGGTGAGCTTGCCGCCGTAGCGGTAGGCGGGGTTCACCGTGAGGGTGATTTGCTCGATGGGGACGTCGGGAGTGAGCTCGTCCTGCAGGCCGTACGCGTCGATGAAGAGGCGGTTGTTCTCCTCTTCGAGGCGCTTCATCTCGGCAATGGTGTCGCGGTTCTGCGTGATCCAGGCGGTGTAGCTGGATTCGAGGGTGGGGGTGGGGTCGGAGGACGCCGTCAGGAGGGGGAGGGTTTGAAAGTCCCACGAGCGCTCGTAGGCGTCCCAGTCCTGGACGGCAAAGTCGACTGCTTCTCTGGCAAATGTCGCATGCGACCTTCTAAGCAATGCTGGCAGCGATTTGATTATCCCCGTCGTTACATTCAGTGTGCCTCCTTGCAATCCCAACAGATGCTGGAATAGCTTGCTACAGAGCATCGCGTGAGCTGTCTCAAGCTCAGGGCCGAAAACTGAGGGCGCAGCGTCGTTGAAGCCGAAAGTATCGTCTCGCCATCTAAAGGATGTAATTCCGCTACCAACCTTGTTCCACGACAGTGCTTCCCGAAAGAAGAATTGAGTATTTTGTGGGCGGGACTTGAGGCTGCCGTCCGGATTCCGATGGTTCTTGATCGCATAGCCATCGTTCTCCCAATTCATCACGAACTCGGCGTTCCCGTACCACTTTCGGAATGACCCAGCCTTATCGGTCTTGATCCATTTCTCATCTCCGCGTTCTCGCCTAATCTTCGAGAGGTCGACCTCCCAGAAGCGCCGAAGGAAAATGTCGTCGTCGCGTGTACCCAGGCCCTCTCTTATTTCGAAGTGGTCCCCCAACGGCGAATTATCGAAGAGATCCACTGTGCGCTGACTTGTCCAATAGACGATCGGGCTTCCTGGTATCTTCTTGAATTCGTCCTGGGTAGCTTCAAAGAACCATCCGCAATCCCGATTCTCAATCGCCTCACGTGTCTTAGGGCCTTGGTTGCTTGGACCACGGAAGTCGGACAGTCTAATGAATGAGCCTTTCTGCCCCTCCATGTGTCCCTTCTGCAAAGTGAAAGTACAGATCGGAACGGTCGCGCCCTCGAACCCAGAGTATTCAAGCTGGACAAGTGACGTGATCGTTTCATGGGTGATAAGACGCTCGCGCAGGTGTTCGAAGCTGGAAATGAACATCCAAACGAACGGCGACATAAGACCCAGTCGGCCATGCGGTTTAGTAAACGCTATGTCGCGATCGATGAACGCCGAGAACACATCCTTCTCATAACCCGCGTAGTGGTCTTGCAGGAACTTCCTCAGAAATGGGACGTGGAATTTGCTCCCGATGTACGGGGGATTCGCCACCACCGCATCGTACTTTGCCGCCAGCAGCTCGGCCTGCTGCACCAGGGGCCCCAAGCGCTTGAGAGCCTCCGACACAAAGAGGTCCTGGCTGGTCGCCTCACTCAGCTGCTTCAGCGCCGGCAGCTTCTCCGCCAACCCCTCCGGTACCTGAATCAACGACCCAAACGTCGTCGCGTGCTCAAAGAGCTCAATCAGGCTCCTGAGCGCCTCGCCGATTGCGTCATCTCCGGGCTGAGCAGGGGCGGATAGGCTCTGCTGAGCGATGGTATCGGGGAAGAGGTCGTCACTCGGCGCCAACTCCACCCGTCCGATCGACGGGAGCGCCTCGATGATCCGTTCGACATCGAGGTCGCCGCTATCGACCAGCGCCATCACGTTGAGCTTCACCCCCCGCTCGAAAAGCCGCCGGTCGTCCGCCCGCCCCTTCATCATCAGCGCAAAGCCCGTCAGCTGCGCCGCGCGCTCGTCGATGTCGAGGCCGTAGAGGTTCTTCTCGAGGATCAGCTGCGGGACGTCGTGTTTCTGGTAGCCGCGCTCCAGGTAGATGGCCTTGATGAGCTCATACGCCTCCACCAGGATGTGCCCGGAGCCACAGGCCGGATCGATGAGGGTCAGCTCCTCGGGGTTGAGCTGGCTGGGCGTGATGGCCGCGAGCTGCGCGTTGACCTCGTCGGTCTGCTCGGCGGGCTCGATGTAGTACTCCATCTGCCCTTTGAGCGGAGACTGGGGATAGGTCGCCAACCACTGCGCCCCCAGCGAGTTCTGGACCATGTACTTCACGATCCAGTTGGGCGTGAACAGCTGGGTCGCCGCCGGAATGTCTTCGCTTTTTACCACCTTGCCAATGACCTGATCCTTCTTCTCCGAGATGTAAAACTGGTAGAGCCAGCCGATGATCTCGATGTTGGACCAGTCTTGTTCTGGGATGGCGCTGACCAGTTCTTTGATCAGCGAGTCGGTTTTGGTCAGATTTTCGGGTAGCAACAGCTCGGTGGCGTCATCAACAGGCTCAAAGAGGAAAGGCATTGCCTCATGTAAGGCGTGGCACTGGCCTAACAAGAGCTCGCGATACAGCTCTTCATCCTTGGTGCCATCCAGTTTGAGTGCACGGACCTTTGACTGGTCCAACCCGGGCAGATCAATGTCCAAGCAATCTTCGAGGATCTGAAAGCCACTATCCTGATCTGGATAGCTGAGCACCCGCCGGCCATGCCCCAAGTAATCAGCCAGTTCCATATAACGGATGGCACAAAGCCGATTGAACCAGCTGTAGGCCGCCTGCTCCATGGCCTGGTGGAAACCTACCTGACCCACTTTTTGCACTAGAGCATCGCGAGACCTGACGATTGAGGCGGGAAATGGTCTATCACCTATTAGGGCCACATCGCCCCTGACTTCAACTGGTAGAACTTCTTGCTCGCTGATCCCGTATTTAGCCGCTTGCTTGGTAACTGCGGTGATGAAATCGGTTCGAGCCTTTGGTGCATATTTGGCAATGTGGGCCGTATTCACTCTTTCAATCCTTTATTCAAAGTCAAAGCCGCTCTGATCCATGGCGGAAGTATTTAATGTGTAATTTAGCAGGCGTCCTTTGCGCTTCAGTACACCTATATCGACGGCTCGATCAAGCCATTCTCGGATCTGCTTTTGCTTCAAATCCTTCCTCAATTCCTTGAGATCAGAAAACTTAACTTCACCGTTAGTTAAAATCTTTTCCGATACATATTGCATAAACTCATCAAAAGCAGGTTCTGGTTCAATGGTTTGAATCTCATGCGGAACAACCAGTTTCTCTTCGACTTCATCAACTTCCGGCACGTCAGCGGCTTCAATAGCTTTGTACTGCTCTAAAGAGGACGGTTCGCTTATCACATTTTCCTGAAGCGGCACGGCTTTCGTCGAAGCTTCCGGTGGGGCGGGCTGCGGCAACATCGATTCGCCCTGGCCCATCAATTGGCGATGAAGCCAATTCTCTGAGGTTACGTTGCCAGGGTCAGGCAGATTTACCGGGCTTGCACCCATTTTGAGTAGAGCAATATTTCCATCAGCCTCCGATGGCGTTGCAACGAACAATGGCACCCATCGATTCTTGTCTTTCAGATTCTCAGCAGCACCTGCCCAGGTACCCCCTGAATTTTTCTCAGAACGTACAACCAACGCAAAGTCAGAAAGGCAGTAGATGTACTTGTTTCTTCCCATTGCGGAGCCCACATGAAACCTAGCCTCCGGATAAAAAGGCGTGACCAACGCCAACTGGTCTTTCTTTAGATACTTCCGCCACTTGCCGGAAAGCGCACTCTTAAATAGGTCGTTAGCGAGCACGCCTACGGCACTGCCTTCGATTTCCAGTGAAGCTAACATTGCCGTTTCGTCGACTCCCCGCGCTCCACCTGATACCACGTTTAACCCTTCAAGGGCGGCCTGCTTCGCGACCAATTTAGTAAATTCAGTCTCACGCTCTCCAATATTGCGCGAACCGATCATCGCCAGACCGCCTGCGTTGAGTAACGCTTTCTCTCCTACCCCAAACAGTAGCGCAGGTGCGGCTTCGGCCAAGTGCTTCTTCAAGCGCCATGGGTAATCTTGGTCTGCACGAGTGAGGATCCATATTCCAGCGCTCTGCCACTTTTCAAGGGCCATACCCATCGCCATGCCTCTACCCAAGAGGTATTGCAAGCGATCAGGTGTCACCTTTCTCTTGGGGTCATGCCATTGCTGTTTAAGCTCATCAAACTTGTGGAACAAGTCCATTGGCTGAAAGCCAGCTCGCTTCATCCAAGCAGCGAAACGCCCATATTCCAATGCTGTCAGTGGCGTAGGTGCGCCCTTCCCCGGCGCGCTGAACTGCGCAGCGAGTAATAGAATTGCCTGTCTATTTTCGTCCACAGTTATCCACTAAATTAACTTCATTCTCTAATCACCTGATGCCGTAGACATAATTGCGAACGGATATACTGGACCAGAACCTGCCCTTAGTAGCAATGCACTAATGACGGTGAAGGTCCAGCGCGAATCCACAGCATCATCAACTAGCAGCACCGGACCATCGGGGATTTCTTGTGTTACTTCAAACACGCCATCAAGGTTTCTGCACCGGAACCGTGAATTCTCCATAAACTTCTGCTGCTTATTCCGACGCGACTTAGTTACGGCCTCAACACATGGAATCTCCAAAGCTGCCGCGAGAGTGTGTGCAAAATTCGCAACAAGCTCTGGGTTACGATGCGAGGGTACAAACGTTATCCAGGCGGGAAATGGGTCTGGGCTCCAACGGTCCCGAATCAATCTTGCTGATGCATTTGCCAACTTGGGATCAAACCGACCTGCTTCCTTTCCCGCCTTGGCTATTTCGCCCCACCCCGCCTCGCCCCACTGACATAGAGCTCGCCCAGTTTCATGCACAAGCCCCTGCGTCGCCAAATTACGGGGAAATTCGTAAACAGGAAAGTCCATGGTATCAACCTGCTTGCGCGGCTCAATCTGGATAAACACATTCTCCAGATAATCCGCTGCCGCCATACCTAAGTGCCTGCTAAAGGTTGTCGGAATTGCCGCATCAGGTGAACAATTGGCGCACTTCCCACATGGAGCAGCCTTTGGATCATCAAGTTGAGCGGTCAGAAATTGCATTAGGCACCCATCATGGTGTGCGTAGGATTGCATCTTTTCCCATTCCGCCTCCTTCATTTGACTCAATCTTGCAATAGAATCATGCGGTAGTTGGTATGCATTTGTTGTGCGCGCATAAACTATCGGTTTCTGTTGCGCGACAACGATGGGCGCTGGCGACTCAGCGGTTAAGTACTTCAGCGCAGCTTCAATCTTCTTGTTTGCCCCATTTACAGACTGAATAATCTCGGCAGTTTTTAGCCCATCTTCACTGTCATCCAAGACCTTCAGAATGTCATTTACCAGTGACTCTCGAGGGAAAGCCTGACGAATAAAGTAACGCTGTATGTCATCATCCTCATTTCCAGATAGCAGTATCCCATACGCTTCGGGAATGCCTCGGCCTGCCCTCCCCACTTGCTGGTAGTAACTCACAACCGATCCCGCACTCTGATAATGAATAACGAACGCAAGATCAGGTTTGTCATATCCCATACCTAAAGCAGAGGTGGCGACAAGTGCTTTAACACGATCATTAAGGAGTGCTTCCTCAAGCTCCAATCGCCTGGCGGCGCTCTGCTCATTACTCATACTTGGGAATGCCCCTGCATAGTAAGGATGAGCATCAATTCCTTGGGTATTAAGCCAGTCTGCCACCTGCTGGGCATCTCTCTTCGTGGTTGCGTAGATAATTCCTGTCCCTTCCAACGTTGGCAGGACCTCTGCAAGCCACGCCAGCCTGTGAGAGCGCCTGGGGAAGTCAATCGTCTGTAGATGCAAAGACTCTCGCGTGAGCTCGCCACGAAAAACCTGAATATCGTCACCCAGTTGATGGCTAACATCATCCATCACGCGTCGATTTGCCGTTGCCGTAGTTGCCAAAATAGGCAAATTGACAGGCAGGCTAGGCAATATGTTGATTATACGCTTGTAGTCCGGCCTGAAGTCATGCCCCCAATCGGAAATGCAATGCGCCTCATCGATGACAAACAGACCAACACGGTCGGCAATGGGTTGAAGAACCTCTTCATTGAAACTTGGTTTCGACAGCTGTTCAGGCGAAATGATGATGGCGTCCAGTTCACCAACGACTACGCTATTTCTGGTGTCATCATTTTGCGCATCCGAATTGGATGAATTGATCGTCCCCAACCGAACGCCATACCCGGCCGCAGACTCGATCTGATTGCGCATCAGAGCCAGCAGCGGCGAGATAATGATGGTTGGGCCGTACCCCTGCTCTCTCATCAACTTGGTGGCAATAAAGTACACGGCGCTTTTACCCCAGCCGGTACGCTGCACCACCAGTAAGCGAGCTCGCTCTTCCACCAGCGTGGATATCGCTTCCCACTGATGCTCATGAAAGATCGCTTCTGGGTTACTCAGACTGTTCCTGAGTAGCTCTAGTGCTCTGCTTTTCGTTGCATTCATATGATTTCTTTCAAAACGCAAGTGATGCTGGGTTCTTGCCTGTTATCGCCTTCACATCGCTCAAGAGATCACCGAACTTGCCATAGTTGACCTTCACCCCATCATCGAGATCCAGGCTGATGCGCTGGTCCGCATGGTGGCGGAGCTTTTCATCAAATGCGCTTAGTTCGGCTTGCTGCTTGTGCAATTTGTCGATCTGCTTTTCCAGGCGTTTGATTTCAGCGGTGGTGCCGCTGGCGTCTTTGTCCTTCTCTAGCTTCTCCACGTGACTGGCGAGTTTAGCGGTCAGTGGGATAACGTATTCGGTGCGCATGCGCGCCAGAGTACCTTCGTTGTAGCGGTGCAGGTAGACCAGGCACTGGAAGGCCTTCTGTTTGCCGCTCGAGAAGAGCCAGTAGATGGGCCTCTTCTTATAGGTCTGCATGTGGTCTTTATAGAACTTGTCGCACAGGTAACGGCGGATGGTGTCGCGGCTACTTTCACCACGTTTGGGAGACAAGTTATCAGCCAGGAACTGTAGGTTTTCTTCCAAATGAGACTTATTCCACGCTACTGAAACAAATTTCTCCACTCGATGCGCTGCATCATCTTCAAACCAATCCGTATCCGTAAGGGGGACGATGCCGTCGTCGTCGGCCGGGAAGGTGGGGTAGCAGCTGGGGTCGAAGCCCTCGTTGCCGCTGTGGGCGTAGATAAGGCCCGGGGCGTCCAGGCTGTAGCGGCCCATCATGCAGCCGATGGCGTAGGAGACCAGCTCCTCCATGGTGTCCTGACGGAAGCGGGTCCACTGCTCCTCTTCGGTGAGCTTGCCGCCGTAGCGGTAGGCGGGGTTCACCGTGAGGGTGATTTGCTCGATGGGGACGTCGGGGGTGAGCTCGTCCTGCAGACCGTAGGCATCGATGAAGAGGCGGTTGTTCTCCTCTTCGAGGCACTTCATCTCGGCGATGGTGTCCTTGTTCTGGGTGATCCAAGCGGTGTAGCTGGATTCGAGGGTGGGCGTGGGCTCGGTGGATGCCGTCAAGATAGGGAGGGATTGGAAGTCCCAGGAGTGTTCATAGGCGTTCCAGTCGTTGCGATGCCCCTGAATGAGCGGCTCAGCAATTTCTTGAGCCACCTCCAAGGAGTGAAATCCCGCAGGCAAGTCATTGAAGTAACCGACGTGAAAATGCATCGTAGGATTCAGAATACGCGCAGCGAGTTGCGTGAAGTGGTTGTTGCACAGACACAGCAATCGCTCAGCTGTCGCGGAGTTGCCCGGAAATGCTGAGTGGCCAGTTGAATCGAAAAGGAACCCTGTCGGGTACAACCGAAAGGCGTTCGTGGACGAGGTCACATCTGACCACGAAATGGAGGCCCTAAATTGATAGTCAGGATTCCTGACCACCGAACCAGAAAACGCTCTCAGCTCGCGCCCATTGCCTTCCCAATTGACGACGTGCTCTTGATTTCCGTACCACTTCCGGAAGCCGCCTCCCTTGTTGTACGGAAACCATCTTCGTCTCGAATCCTCCGCCTCCGCGTGTGAGGAAATCCCCATGCCAATGTTGCTTTGACTGACCTCCGACCACGATCTGAGAAAGCGCCCGTTGTCTGCTGTCGCAATTCCTTGCTTGGCTTCGACAACCTCACCGAGTGACTTGTTACCTGAAAATACATCAAGAACAGCCCGAGGAACCCAGTACGCTACGGGACTTCCCGGAATCTTCTTGAAATCACCTTGGGTAAATGAGTCGTATCTGCACTCGCCACGGGTAAGCGCCAAACGCTTTACTTCCTCACCACCGTCCAAGAGCCGGAAGAAAGCAGGTTTGAATCGGTGCGGGTGTCGGTTGCGGAGCGAGAACACTGTCGTCTGAACAACTTCGCCGGAGATAGAACCGAAGGCCCGTGCACCAAGATGCGCCATCGTATTGATACTCTTCTCCCGCAGCAGCCGCTCCCGCATCTTCTGGAAGCTCGAGAGGAACATCCAACTCTGCATGGTGACCATCGCGTCGTAGCCAGCCTCCTTCGCAAACGTGTAGCCACGTTCGATGAAACAGGCGAACATGTCGCTCTTGGCATCTGGGAAGTAGTCCTTGACGAACTTCTTCAGCAGAGCATTCATTCCACCGCTCCCCATATACGGCGGATTGGCCACCACCGCGTCGTACTGCGCAGCCAGCAGCTCGGCCTGCTGCACCAGCGGCCCCAAGCGCTTGAGCGCCTCCGACACAAAGAGGTCCTGACTACTCGCCTCGCTCAGCTGCTTCAGCGCCGGCAGCTTCTCGGCCAATCCATCCGGCACCTGAATCAATGACCCAAAGGGCGTCGCGTGCTCGAACAGCCGCTTCAACTCCGTGAGGTCCCCCGGACGCAAATTGTAGTCCGAAAGCTCCACCCCCTTCGCCAGCGCCTCCGCATCGAACCCCGCACTGTCCACCAGCGCCATCACATTGAGCTTCACGCCCCGCTCAAACAGCCGCCGTTCATCCGCCCGCCCCTTCATCATCAGCGCAAAGCCCGTCAGCTGCGCCGCCCGCTCGTCGATGTCGAGGCCGAAGAGGTTCTTCTCGAGGATCAGCTGCGCGACGTCTCGTTGGCGATAACCGCGCTCCAGGTAAATGGCCTTGAAGACCTCATAGGCCTCCACCAGGATGTGCCCAGAGCCACTGGCCGGGTCGATGAGGGTCAGCTCCTCGGGGTTGAGCTGGCTGGGCGTGATGGCCGCGAGCTGCGTGTTGACCTCGTCGGTCTGCTCGGCGGGCTCAATGTAGTAATCCATCTGCCCTTTGAGCGGCGATTGGGGATAGGTCGCCAGCCACTGCGCCCCCAGCGAGTTCTGGACCATGTACTTCACGATCCAGTTGGGCGTGAAGAGCTGGGTCGCCGCCGGAATGTCTTCCGACTTCACCACCTTGCCAATGACTTGGTCCTTCTTCTCCGAGATGTAGAACTGGTAGAGCCAGCCGATGATCTCGATATTGGCCCAGTTGTCTTCGGGGATGGCAGTGACCAGCTCTTTGATTAGGGAGGCAGTTTTAGTGAGGTTCTCGGGTAACAAGAGTTCAGTTGCGTCATCAACAGGCTCAAAGAGGAAAGGCATGGCCTGATGCAGCGCATGACACTGGCCTAGCAAGAGCTCGCGATAGAGTTCTTCATCTTTGGTGCCATCCAGCTTGAGCTCACGGACCTTCTGTTGGTCCAGGCCAGGTAGATCGATATCCAGGCAGTCTTCAAGGATCTGGAAACCATTATCCTGATCTGGATGACTGAGGACTCGACGCCCATGCCCCAGGTAATCTGCAAGCTCCATATAGCGGATGGCACATAATCTGTTGAACCAACAGTAGGCGGCCTGTTCCATGGCTTGGTGGAAACCTAGCTGCCCCACTTTTTGCACTAATGCATCGCGAGACCTGACGATTGAGGCGGGAAATGGTCGATCGCCAACCAGGACCACGTCGCCCCTGATTTCAATTGGTAGAACTTCTTTCTCGCTGATACCGTATTTAGCCGCTTGTTTGCTCATCGCCGCGATGAATTCAGTCCGCGCTGCTGGCGCGTAGCGCTTGATGTGCTCTGTTTGCATACTTTCCTTAAATCCCTGGAGTATTTTAACGGATGCGAATGCGCTTATTGGCCTTAATGGCCTGCATCAATTCTTCCTTCAAGTTGGTGAGAAATTGCTCAACCTCTTCTTCTGTTTCCAGGTACACGCCACTACTGGCTTTGCTGAAAACATCTGCTGTTACGATATCAACGCTTTCCTTGGCCGGGGTGACGTAGGGTGGTGGATCCTCTTCACCTGTCCGGTTCGTCTGCTCACTCGTCTTGTTACTTTTGCTCTTGTCAGCTTCCGTCTGGATAGCCTGTTGCAGCTCAAACAAGCTGTCTGCGAGGCGCTCTTCCGCCACCTGCGTTTGCAACATATATATTTCAGCAATACTCGTTTCTGTCGCTAGCATCTCTTTCAACAACTGCAGCGGTCGAAGCAGGCGATTGCTTAAATCAGCATTACCAATGCCGCTCTTATCAATCTCAGCTTGCAGTTGAGCAACTCTGGCGTCTACACGTTTGCAGGCGTGCTCTTGTTTCTCCGTGACAATGGCGCTGTTCGTCTCGTCGATGGTGCTAACCAGACCAGCAACTTGATGCAACCTAGCAAAGGGCCTGTCTAACTGTTCAATATCTCGAAGTGTTTGCAACGCGCTGCCGGTGTCGGCGTGCTTCTCTAGGGCTTGTCGGTTCTTCTCAAACTTGGCCAACGCCACTTGCAGTTGCTGCCAGGTATTAATCTGGCTTGTAAAGAATTCGTGCAGCTCGCGATAGTCTTCCTCTAGATCTAGGTAGTCATTCTCTTTTTCGACTAGGCTTTGGAAAAACTCGAAGCTGTCATCGTTATGGAGTAATCGCTCTAGACCGAGAATGGCGCTTTCGATCGTGCCCTTACCTGGGAAACGGCCAACATCTACTTTGCTTTTGTAACTACGCAAGTTCTGCAACCACTCACCGAAGTGCTGCGTGTAAAACTCGAATAATTCTTTCTCAGCTTTAGGGCCAAGACTTGCAAACAGCTTGCGTGATAATGTGTGCGCCTGCGCCAATACCGCCTCGTCAGTCTGTCGCTTGCGAATCACTGAGACTTCACGGCGTTGACGCGAATTTTGCAGGGACTCGAACGCCTCCTTGGTCGGAAGCGTGCCACCACTGCGCTGGAAAGAGATTTTTCCCGCCGCAGCCAACCTGCCTAATATCAGCAAAATTTCCGCATCCGGCCAGCCATAGGGCCGCTTGGTGAATCGCTCAACAATATCAGATACAAGGGTGCGTTCGGTTCCAGAAGACCTTAACGCCACATATTGATCGACATCATTGGTCGCTTGAGGGTTGCCCTCTTCGCCATCGAGAGAAAGGCCCAACTGACCGATATCATCTACCGTGAGTACCGCACTGAGCTCGCGCCACGGGTCCTTTTGCAACACTTTAAGATAGCTAAGCTTAGTGTAGGTATTTTCCAGCAGATACTGGCAGGCCTCATCGAACTTCGTGGAAATATTGGTTGAGGTGATATTCAGATGCTGGCCCAGTGCATAAACCTCAGCAGTGGCAAGCATTTCCTCCAGGGAAATTCGTAACCGCTTCTTACGCTCCTGATTCTCTCGACCTCTATCGGCAAGGATGTGTGCCAGGTCTGGCTGGGAGTCGTCACTATTAAGGCGGATATACTTATTGGTTTTCAGCCACGTGCGTAGTTCCGCGAAGAACGTTTTGTCATCGGGCAACTTCAATAAGGCTATACCAGTGCCTTCGCTGCTTTTATTGATGCAACCGGCATCACTATATTGCGCGTAGTCCACATCCAGGGGGGACACAATTTCGAAGCGCAAATCGGCTTCATACCTCCCATCCAAGCTGTGCCCGTCTATGTGCCGACCGATGTTGTAGTCCGTTTTATTCAGGGCGTAGCGAAATTTGTTCTGGTCGCGCAGCAAGTCCTTGTAGATTAAGTTGCCCAGCTCTTTATTCTCTTCGCTGCTGGCAATGTCGGTGGCTTTGATCTTGCGGGTGATATCGCGCTCTTCGTTAGTCAGAAAAACGAATTCATCACCATTGCGTGTAATGAGACTTTCCTTCTCAAGACGCTGCAGACTTTCATCGATGCGCTTGCGCAAGGCTAGCTTGTCTTCATCGATCTGCTCGATGCCAAGGGTCACCAGGTTGTCCAGGGTGCCTTTGATGAGATCGACGTAGCGGATCATGAATAAAGTGCGCAGCAGGCTCACATCCGACTCATCTAGGGTGGCATTGTCGGCGGCATTATCGATGGTGCGTTTGACCGCTGTATCGAGAAAGCCCTCAATTGAATTGTAGAAACTGTGCATGGGCACCAGGGCACCGATCTCTTTAGAAGCAATGGCTTTTGCAGCCATCTGGAAGGCGTCTAGCATGGAGCGTTCGCCATACGCCAAGTGGGCGCCCGAGGCTCCTACTTTGCGTATTTCTTCGAAGACTTTCTGCACCAACTGGAAGTGATACGGTGCAAAGGGATAGTTAGCGACAAAACTTTCTGGGCCATCGAAGTTTTTTAACGTTGGGCCGGAGCGATCGAAGGTCAGCTGGTTTTTTAGAATATCGCCCTTCTCAGCAAAAACTGCTTCAAGCTCTTTTCGCGCCGCCTCGGTCTTGAGGAGCAGTCGCCGCTGAATAACCTCGTCTGTATTAGAGCTTGAAAGCGACAAACGCGTTTTGAATCGCCCGGCAATCTTGGAAAAGTCATTGGCCTTTGATGACGACAACTCTCCAAGAACTGCATCCATGTCAGCTTGCGAGGTCACAATAATCCACGCGCGACCTTTGCAGATAGTGCCGAGATTTTCCGTGATGGTTTGCAGCGTAAGCATCAGGCGGGTGTCACTACCAATAAACTGCCCTACCTCGTCAACGAGAAACAGCAGCCGGTGCTCGGGGGATTGCCCATCCAGGTATTCCTTCACCCAATGGCAAAATTTTTCAACGGAGACACTGAAGTTGCTCTCCGCCTCTTCGAACCACTTTTTCGCTGCATCGGGGGACAAATCTAGCGCTTCCGAAAGGGCTTTTTCCACATCATCCTGGTAGAACTCAAAGCCGTCGCGCTCCGCTACCCAATCAGACCCGCTGGCCTTTTTAAACGCGGCTTTGAAAGCATCGTAAACCCCTTTTTCTGCCAGATGACGCTCCATGTGCGCTACATGTGGGTGGTCAGCACTAAAACCCTGGTGTTCATTGAATACCCGCAAAAAGACATTCAGGATCTTGTTGCCATCGTCACTTGCACTGGCCTTGCTATCGATATTGAACAAAATGACATCCGCAGGGTTGCTCACGGCTTTATCCATATCCGCACGGATCAAGGCATCGCGTATTTTTTGCTCATCGAAGAACTCGATAGCGGGCTTGGCGTCGCCGCCTGCCGCCATTGACTCCTTGTTAGCAAGTATGTATGACAATATTTTTAGGAAGTGCGATTTACCCGAACCAAAGAAACCGGAAATCCACACACCCACGCGGTTGGCAATGGAGGGGTCGCTCAGGTCAGTGCTATAGGACTCAAAAAAGGCCCGGAAATGCTTTTCCAGCTCGTTAGTAACGACATACTCATCGAGCTCCTGAAAGACCGTTTCATCATCATCCTGGTCCGCCTTGACTACGCCATTAATAGGGCGATCCAGGGGTTTGAAGAACAAGCTCTTTATATTCATCGTTAGTTTCTTCCTTGAGGCCTAGGGCACGAGTTTGAATGCCCGGTAATAATTGCTGCTCTGAATTTTTCCAAAAAGGCTCATAGATTGACCGGTGTACTTGCCCGGGTAAAACAACACCACTGGTTTGTGGCCCAATAATGCGTGCAAGCTGTTCAGCAAATTGTGTGCTCTGAGCAAGGGCCAGACAGACCCCATACCTGAGATCAGAATAATGTCTCGCTTCTCCACATCACATTTTTCCACAAGGTAGGGTGCAAACTTATCCATGTGCAGTGGTCCGGAAAGAGCCTTCAAAAGCGCGTCATCTCCCTTCTTTTTTTGCAGAGCCACTGCCTTGTCGATAAAACCACGCTCCTGGAGATAGTCGACCAGCGCCGCGAGCAAGTTGATGTGTAAAACATCGAGATGACCATGCTTTTCCGCGAGCATTTCCTCTAAGAAACCAATGTACTCGCGAATAGCCAACTCATCTTCTGGCGCGTAATCAAAGATCCAGAAGCCAAGCTCATTACCCAAGCCTTTCGCACTGCGGAATTCTTCCGACAAGATTTTGTCCGGGATCTGGTTCAATCTGTTTTGTAACAATTCATCCATGCGAGATCGGCTTAGTTAGCCCCTTTAAAGGAAACACTCATACAGTCCATGATCCTGTGTTTATGGTTGTCACTCAACATGGCCCTCACTTCAGGCCTGATGACAATATTTTGCAGTTGCCGAGAACGGGTATCTTTCAAATAACCCATCTCAGCCAGCATGCGGAACGTCACTTGCCCCATCTTTTTCCTGGATGAGGCGGTCCATTCGTGGATAGCTGGGTCGCGGAGCGCGCAATCGTTGAGAAAGTCTTCCCACTCGTACACCTCCAACTTTTCCGCATGGGTGACGTACGCATCACTCACTACCCTTTCCATGAACTCTACTAACAATAGGTTACGTTCTAGAGCCGCGCAAAAAGCGACTTGAGTCGCTAAATCATCATCGCCGTCACGTAAAGCGCGCCAAAATTCCGGCTCCATGCGTTCCAAGCGCTTTCGGATTGACTGAGCTATCCTTTTGGCTGTCGCCGGCGCTCGCTTCTGGAGCAGGTTGTCGACCATGATTGCCTGGTGCCACTCATCTGCTGACGACTTACGGAGCATTAGATCGGCGACAATGCGGCTCTCTCTCACTTGCAGAGAGCCACCCACAAGATCGCTGTCATAGGAAAAATGTGCCATAGGGAGGCTCTAAGACTTTGGCTCGTGCTGTGACTCAATCCAAGCGGCAACGTCTTCCTTTCGGAAACGCCAGGAGGTGCCTACGCGAAATGCGGGCATTTCACCTCCTGCTGCAAGCCGATATATCG